TTTGTGAAAATTGATATTGTGCTTGTATTGCTTGGAGGAAAAGATTGAATCTTTGGATCGAGAATGCTTGACTAAGTGTGATTAGGAGTTAAATGCTTGCTCGTTTTGTGCTAGAGTTTGATTTAGTTTCCTAGGCTTTTAGCTAGCATGGCAATGTTCGGTTATTTGTGTGTGTTTGATCATAGAGACTCCGGTGAACCAAAATCCCTCTTTCCCCCTTGATTTCTCTCATGTTCTTGCGTGCTTAGTTAATTGTTTTCAATTGCTCTCATTTCATAGATTAATTTAGCTTAAATTCAAACCCACAAATTGCGAGTAGAATGTTTAGGACCTTTTTGGTTGTGTGACTTTGACGACTAGGTAGTGAACGAAGCTCCGAACAGCCTTCCTTTGAGAACGACCCGAGTCGGGTAGCTCGGTTACCACATGCCCAAAAACACTACAAAACAACTTTCAATATAACTTTTCGCGGCGATCGATCGAACTGTGCTCGTTGCGGACGCAAGGTGGGATGCACGGCCCGGGGAGCACGCGGGGTGCCTTGCGCCCGATCGCCTCCATCATGGGTCGGAGAAGGTAACGACAACAACACCCTCTCTGAAGTTAACCTTTTTAGTCATACGGCTTGAGATGACGATTTTTTGGCCTAAGAGCGTCGGTGGGAGTCGACTTTTCGCATTAATATTCAAGAGTTCACCGGCGCCTTGGATGCATCAAAATTCTTGGATTGGATGGCCATAGTCGAGACTGCACTCGACTACAAGGAGGTGCTGGATGACCAGCGTGTGGCATCGGTTGCGATCCGTTTGTGCGGTCGAGCCGCCGCTTGGGGGCAGCTGCTCAAGACGGCGCAAAAGGTCACGATTTAGGTAAAATTCTAGAACACATTGAGCGTGAGTTTATTCTTTTTAATTATGTACGTATTGTTTGTTAACATTTGCAAAATCTGAGGCATGGTTCGCGATCGGTGGATGAATACGATGAATTTTATCATCTTCTTACGAGGGTTGATGTGCACGAGACGACGAATCAACTCATCTCCCAGTATATCGACGGGCTGTATTTGCCGATTCAGGTCACGCTGATCTTACTCATTCCCAACTCAATTTCCGACGCGCAATCAGCGCGCCCTTCTTGTGGAGCAGCAGCTCGCGCGACGGGCCATGACCACCTTTCTCCCAGCTGCACACGCCGACTCGGTTGCAGCAGTGGGCCAAGCACCAACGCAGGCAGCAGCATCCAGTTCTGGCGCCTCTCCAGTGGCTCCAGGCCCTATAGAAGATACCAGGGCCCGCGGCAGGCTGATATGTTTTTCGTGCGACGAGCTGGGGCATCGATATGCCTCGTACTCTTGGCTGGGCAGTTCCCTTAAGCTGCACGCTGACAACGGTGGCGTCAAGGAGTACGACGGCCTACCTATATTCGACGAGGAGCCATCTCTAGAGGAGGTGCATGTGCATGGCGACGTAGGTCCGACGCTTCTTCTTCGTCGATCCTGTTCATCATTTGTGCTTCTAGAGATGAGTTTGGGTTCTGCTAATTCGTTAGATCCTCAGGATAACAAATCTATAGAAACAATAATGTCAACTTCGTTGCAATCTACACTAGTCCCTTCACTATCTGGAGATTCTCATCAGTCCTTGGCTTGCCACTCACTCGGGGTGTTAAACAAGGATGATGATGTCTCTCTTAAAGCTAATGATTTTGGGCTTTCTGTTTTCTTCAAGCAAAGGCACATTTCACGGATGTGTTTGAGAGCCCATCCTATGTGGCACATATGATTACAGAAGTAAACATGAATTATTTTAGGGCAAAGTCACATTTTCTATTGGAGCATTATGACTCAGAAGTAGACGTGCATTATTTTTGAAAATATGGAACTACGTTAAAGGTTACAACACAAACGTGATCTTGTGGATACAACAGATGTATAGAATAGTGGGCTGATAACGATTGGGTTGGTTGACGGGTCTAAGTATGCTGTGAAGGTTATTGATTGACCAGTCGGTCAGTTTGAGAATAATATAGAAATCTTGAGATTTATCTCTTTTAGTTTCTTTTCACACATGCTGGCTGCATCAGCTAGTATTCAGAGACCAGAATGATCCACGATGCCGATGAGAGACATAATGTTGCTATCGACACACTGATGCACCGATGCGAGACGGCTAACCGTCAAATGGCGGATCTGACCCCGAGGATCGAGGACCTCACCCAGGCTTTCAATACAGCTTTTTGCGGTGATCGATCAAACCGTGCTCGTGGCGGACACACGGTAGGATGCACGGGACGAATAGCACGCGGAGCGCCTCGCGCCCGATCGCCTCCATTGTTGGTCGGAGATGATTACGACGACAACACCCTCTCTGAGGTTAACCTTTTTGGTCATCTGGCTCGAGATGACGATTTTTTGGCCTAAGAGCGTCGGTGGTAGTCGTCTTTTCACTTTTGATACTCCAGAGTTCACTTGCGGCTTGGATGCGTCGGAGTTCTTGGATTGGATGGCCATAGTCGAGACCGCACTCGACTACAAGAAGGTTCTGGATGACCAGCGTGCGGCGTTGGTCGCGATCCGTTTGCATGGCCGAGCCGCCGCTTGGTGGCAACAGCTCAAGACGGTGCAGAAGGTCACAGCTTAGGAAAAATTCTAGAAGCACATAGAGCGTGAGTTTCCTCTTTTTAATTATATGCGTATTATTTATTAGCGTTTGCAAAATCTGAGGCAGGGTTCGCATTTGGTGGATGAATACACGGATGAATTTTATCAACTTCTTACGAGGGTTGATGTGCGCGAGATGACGAATCAACTCGTTTCCCAACTCAATCTAGGACACACATCAGCGCGCCCTTCTCATGGAGCAACAGCTCGCGCGATTGGCCATGACCACCTTTCCCCCAGCCGTGCGAGCCAAGGGGCGGCTCGGCCAGCAGTGTCCTCTGCAGTGGCTGTAGGCCCTTCAGAGGACACCAGACCCAGCGGCGGGCTAATATGTTTTTCTTGGGACGAGCTCGGGTATTGGTAGGCTCGTGCCCTCGGCCGGGCGGTTCCCGTACGCTGCTCGCTGACAACGGCGGTGTCCAGGAGTATGAAGCCCTGCCTGTCTTCGACAAGGAGCCATCTATGGAGGAGGTGCATGTGCACAACTACGTTGGTCCGACGCTTCTTCTTCGTCGATCCTGTTTGGTATTTGTGCTTCCGGAGATGTATTCGGGTTCTCCTGATTCTTTAGATCCTCAGGATATATAACAAATCTACAGAAACAATAAGGTAAAATTTGTTGCAATCTACACTAGTCCCTTCACTATCTGGAGGCTCGTGTTAGTCTCAGGCTTGCCACTCACTCGGGTTGTTAAACAAGGATGATGATTTCTCTCTTAAAGCTATTGATTTTGGGCTTTCTGTTTTCTTCAAGCCAAGTCACATTTTTCACGGATGTGTTTGAGAACCCATCCTACGTGGCACATAAGGTTACAGAAGCAAATGTGAATTATTTTAGAGCAAAGTCACATTTTCTTTTGGTGCGTTATGGCTCATACACAGACGTGCTTTATTTTTGAAAATATGGCACTACGTTAAAGGTTACAACACAACGTGATCTTCTGGATGCAGCAGATGTATAAAATAGTAGGTCATAATGATTGGGTTGGTTGGCGCGTCCAAGAATGCAGTGAAGGTTGGCATGGATTTGCGAACGGTGCCAGGTGACGATGTTGATGCTGGATAGATTTTCTACACATGTGTATACCAAGTTGTCGACCCGTAAAATTGACCCGGTCGAGATCATGGAGAAGATCAATCCTAATGCATACCGACTCCGTCTTCCTTCTCATATTCCCACCTCGGACGTTTTCAATTCCAAGCACCTCGTGTCTTTCCGAGGCGACAATTTGGATAATGACGAGATCGGGTCGGATTCGAGAGCGAATCCTTCTCAATAGGAGGATAATGATGGAGACGAGATCACCTTTGTCTTCTTGGAAAAACGAGATCGCCGCGTCATTAGTTCTTGATTTATTTCCACCTCATTTATTATTTTTCCTATTTTTACACTATTTAGATTTGTAGATGATTTTTTATTTATTTTACCTATTCCTTTCTTATTGGTTAAGTTAAATGTTTAGGACTTTTGAGATTTATCTCTTTTAGTTCTCTTTCGTACACGCTTGCTGCGTCACCGGACATTGACCCAACGATTAAAACGATGATCAGAAGGCCCAGGATTTTAGAACATTAATAATTTGTATTTGTATTTTTTTTTTTTTTTTTTTGTAATGAACCAAAATCCAATTAGGAGATATTATGATATTTGGAGCAAAATAAGTACCTTCTTAAGACCGGGCACAAGACCGGAAAGCGCTACAAATAACTGGTTGAGCTGCTCGCGCCTCCTCCTCTCGGCTATGATGTGGTCGTAGCTCTGTGATGGCCCCCGAATTCGACCTTTCTTCTTTGCCGGCTCACGCTTAACCCCCACATCATCTTCATGATTTGACCCTTGTGCCACCACTATTTCAGGGCCTACTACACTTCCTTTTTCCGGATTCAATTGCACCTGTTCAGACAATCATATTATTGACTACGCACCGACAGTAGACAAAAAAACAAATCATTACTAAAAATAAACATTTTAGTTACACACTATTTTATTAATATATGAATCACTATAAGATGAGATAGAAATAAAATGCTAACATTAATCCTTAAAATAAATAACTTGTAAGAAAAAAATTGCTATAATTTTTTTCTATAAGTGTATAAATTCTATAAATTTTTAGTATGTTGTAATTACTAAATAGTTTTAACTAATTAGAATTCATTTTGTTAAAAACTACAATTTATAATATATTCAAGCGACTTCGTTTTACTTGGAACAATAAGAACAGCAGCCTTATTTTATTTCGGTTGTATTTTTTCAAAGTTACTTACGGGTATTCAAAATCATAAAAATCTTTCGAAATTACACAAAAAGCATTTTAATTATTAAAGAAGCAAAAACAGCCGGGTCCCGTTTTGGTCAATAGGCTAAACTTCAGGGGCGGCACCGTAAATTCTCCTGAACATATATATTTATATTTTCATTTTTTTGATCCAACGTTACCTTGTTGTGGTCCAAAGGGCACTCACCTGCAGCTGCTGGATATTTTGTGAAGGATTGCGGTTTCCAATGTTCAGAACGATGGCGTCTGAAGAATCTTGATCCGCAGGATAATTAATCACGCAGCCCTGATTTATCATGTTTGGAAACTGTGAGTAACTGTCTGGCGCTTGCTGTAAGATCGTTTGTTGTTCGAGACTAAAAGAAGTGTAGAAAGAGTTGTTCGAGTTCAAGTTGTTGCTTGGAATGCTGTTATTAATCAAAACTGAACAACATGTCGAATTGCTTCTTGGAGAGGACAAATGGTTGCCAAAATCCTGCCCGAGTAAGGCTACAAAGTCGTCATCAGTCCATAAATTTTCACATGGACCCGTGAACATAGGATTCTGCATTACCTGATAATTGCAGATAAATTATTTTGAAAAACAATAAAATATTTCAGATTTAATAAACACAAACTTAGCTAGAGCTAATGCATGTAAGTTGTCTTAAAAGATCATATTATAGATTACTAGCTAATTAATCTCATCTCAAATAAGGAGTTTGGGTATAATATTTTACATGCTTGGTTTTAGGGAAATATATGAAAAATGAAAAACAAGTAGTTAAACAAGAGAAGTTAACTAATTGAACTCTTATATAAGGGAATGCAATTTATTAGTATATGTACAAGGATATATTTCACACTGTGGAATAAAAAATGAAGAATATATTAACAAGAATTATAAATTATCATGTTGCAACTTTTTATCCAAAACATTATTAGCTCATAAATAAATTCTCTCTCTCCTACAAAAGTTGAAAGCAATTAATACTTGCTGACAACGTGTTGCTCAAACATCGATTTTATTTCATGTGCTAAGCCAATGAGATCTATAATTTACTAGAAACATGATACGTTAGAAAAGGAAACATACCGGTGGAGACATCCATGAAATTACAGAGGAATTCATACTGTTAATTTTATCCGCTTTCTTCCTGTGAAAAGAATGAAAAGAAGCTGATATTTTTTAGATTTATTGCAAGGAAAAGTTCAAAAAATTATAAGGATGAAAAATAAGATCTTATTTGTTTTTGAGATTGTTAATATGAAGCGTATTTAAGATGTAAGAAGGAAGCGCACCTCCAAATGTGGTGTGCCTAATGATAACCCTTGCCCACTAAGAAGGAAAAGTCTATGCTTTGCCTTTATATAGAAAAAAGATATATACATACTGACAAGGTAAAATAGTGAAGTGCATTTATCTAATGATGGGTTTATATATACCAGTGAAATAGTTATTCATTTGGGACATGCTTGAATACAAATATATTTTATCAAAATGAGTTTTTTGAGTTAACAAAATTATTTTATTTTATTTTTTTTTAAAAAAAAGATATCTACGGTAGATTTAAAACACTGACGGAACCATTCCGTCAACTGTAGTATTTCCCTCAATCTTAAGCATCATTTCTTTAAGAGATATAGTATTTCTGGTAAAACATTTAACATTTTTTAAATTTGAAAATCATCACTACAAAAAAATTGTTATTTTCCAACCGAAAATTTTACAGTAATATATTTCAATAGAAATTTTCAACGGATATTTCAATAGTATATAGCTAGGTTTCGTTAGAATTATTGCAACAGAAATTTCAATGATAACATTGGAATGGATTTTTTATTAGAATTTTAGATGAAATTTGATGGTTCCAACGGCTATTTTTCCAAAGGTGTTTTACCGTAGAAATTTCTGTTGGAATTTTTATTTCCACTCGTGTTGGAAAGTATACTATTGGAATTGTAAAAAACCAACGAAAATTCCAACGGGAAACTCATTCCAACGGAATAGTTTTGTTGGAATTTCCGTTGACATTTTTCAATTAATTCTAACGAAATTAATAGCATTGGAATATCCATTGGAATTGTCATTAGAATTCCTATTAGAATATATTTCCGTTGGAATTTTACATGGTAATTTCATCATTTCCTTGTAGTAAATCTAATTGCCTATCATAAGTTCGAGCGGTCTTTTTAATTAAATTGTTTTTATGATCATTTTTGGCTACACAATTTTCATTTCTATATTATAGATTTAATTTTCTAAATTACCGCGTCTCATAAACTTTTGTTATGAGCTGTTTCAAATTTTCGTGTGTATCATTAAAACTTTGTAGTCGTTGAAGATTTTTTCTAGAATTTTTGAAAATTTTATCGTATCAAGCTTACATTTGAATTCATAATTTAAACCTTATTGTCTCCATTTAGAAAATATTGTTTATATAAAATCATTAGTCTATAGAAAAATTTTTATGANAAAAAAAAAAAAAAAGTTTAGAAATAAAATTCTATTTTTCTTTTAATTTAAAAGTACAAAATTTCTGTATGAGACAGTCCAAATATTAGGAGGGTTGACTTAACTAGTTTCTCAATAAAAATGCTTACTATACAAATATCATACATTTAATTTATATTGTTTTTAAAGTATGACATTTAAATTTAAAAATATGGATATTTGTTGAAAAGTATGACATTAAAACCGTTAAACATGCCTAAAAATAATCTTATTATACAAACGCGGAAAAATTGCACTATTCGTCCACTAACTATACCCTAGTTGCACTTTCGTCCTTTAATTGTTTATTTTTTACTTTTGGTACACTAACATTTTTATTTTGGTAATTTTAGTCCAAATCGACATTCCAGTGTTCATTTTTGTCGAAAAAACTGATGTGGCGCCTACTCAAATCTGATTTTTTATTCCCGGCGTGATGTGGCACGAGATGGGCCCAAGTGTTTGGACATATGGAACAAAATAATATTAAAAAATTTAAAAAAATTAGAAAATGTTACAAAAATAATCCACATGTGAAGACACATGGATTAAAATCATTAAAAAAAAAAAATGGATAAATATCCACTGCCATTAAGGGCCAGAACATCTTGATCGGGGACGCCGACTTGAAGATCGCCTACTTCGGGTGCGCGAGGTTGGTGACCCACGACAATCCCAACGCCTTCTCCGAAACGCCCGCGTACATGGCGCCAGAGGTCACTGTAGCGAGGAGCAGGGCTTCGTGGCGGACTTATGGGCCTTTGGCTACAGGGTCGTTGAAATGGCCACCAGATCCGGGCCCTGGCCTGAGATGTGTTAGGCTCAGATGCGCAAATGCGGAAGGTGTAAATTAAAACACCAATGTGAAATAGTGAATAATAATAATAATCCCAGCAACTCAAGAATGACAAAAGAAATCTCTTGCAATCAAACAGGAATAATTATTTTCTGATGTGGAAGATCAGATTAAACTGCGACCACAGAACATACTAAGAATATCCCAAATAAATAAAATATGCAAGAAAGAAGACACCAAGATTTTACGTGGAAAAACCTCCAATGTAGAGGAAAAAACCACGGGACAACATCCGAACAATTCCACTATATTTTCAAGATAATTACAATATCTTTTCACACTCCTCTATACTAAAAATGTAAAATATAGTGACCTAGTGAGACCTCACTCCTATTCAAATATTACAAACAAGGAGTAATAGAGATAATACCCGATCCGGTGTATTTTTCCTACACTCACAGGATTTACTCAAACACTCTATTTTTACTCTCACTGAAAAATCTAACACTCTAGGAACTGAATATTTTGTTCTTGTTATTTTTCTCTCTTGTTTGGTGTGTCTTTCTCCTCTGCCGAATGTCTCTATTTATAGAGGGGATGACACTTGAAACCTGCACCATATAGCTGCTTTTGTTGAATTTTTTATTTTTCAATGATGGCGGCACCGCCATCCACTTGATTTTTATTTTTTTTTCTTTCTTTTCCACCAAAAGTGTGTTTGGCTGATCTGACAATTCTCCCTCTCCAGCCAAAGGGTAATATACTGCAAATCTTCACATGCATTCCACGTCGATCAACTCGACACAAAGTTGAAGCTTTCCTCCTGTTACAACTTTTGTCATCATGTCAAGAGGATTTTCATCAGTGTTAATCTTTTCCAACTTGAACTATTGTTTTTCCACTGCTTGACGTAGCCATGATATCTGATATCAATGTGCTTCGTGTTGGGTTCGCTAGTACCGTACGGGCTGTACGCAGCGGAATTTAAAATTTTTAAAGTAAGTATTTATCGTATAAATACAACACCCGTACATACTAATTGCGAATTAACAGATCGTCATCTTTAAAATATGCATCATATACAAATTTTGATTTGTTATAATAAAGTAAATACTAATACGAAATATTTACCGAGTGTCTTGAACTCCTTCAACAAAGATGTGGATTGTGGGAATCGGTTCCCGGTTGTAACTTCAACGGCTTGAGGTTACTCGCTTTAGGAATCCAAATGTCTTCCCTCTAATCGTATCCACCCTATGAAGCCCGGTTCCGACGACCTTTCTTCGCTAGTAGAAATGTCTCGGTTTTCTTGTATAGGAATATATATATATAGATATAATTTGGGAATTATCAAGAACACTTTCTTGAAATATATGAAGAACACTTTCTTCTCTCTTTGATTTTCTCACAAAATCACTTCCCATCTTTGCAAACATTTTGCATCTATTTATACTAAACATTTTAGCATAAAATAATCAATATTTAGTAATATTTAAATAAAATCAAATTTTATTTAAATAGTATTTACTAACCATTGACTTTGAAAATAATAAGATATGTTAAGTAGTTCAAACAACCATTAACAACCATTTTATTAT